ATCTTGACTGACTCTCTCCATCACCCGGCCCTTCCCGCTTCCAGTCCTCTAACAATCTGAGCTCCTCCACTTGTGGCCCTCCTCTACTGATTCACCCTTGCCAGTCTCAAGCCTCCGGTCCACCTTCTTTCGTTCCCTTGAGCCACAGAATTTAACAAAGAAAATCGCTGACTTCAGATACAATGGCACAAAGCTGACAGGTGCACGCCATCTTTAAATGAACATGAACAATGCGCTGACTTTACCTTGAAGGTAGAGTGTAATTTTTAAAACATTTACACTCATGAATCTTTATGGCATGCAATGTATTATAGGTGGGAAACTGCCACAGGATGCTGCGAGACCTAATACTCTACAGACCACTAGCTCCATCTCGGCATTGCAAGCCATTATTAGGCAAACAAAATTTCAGCTGCCACCTCATTCAATCATTCCACAGGCCATATTTCTCACTGTTATAGGCTTTATAAAATCCCTTCCATTTTCTTCACCTCTATCTACCAAACAGCTGCTGGATCACATACAGTGTTCAGCACACAATTTAGAATGACAGCCCCAGTTCTGAAAGAGTGCTTCTCTTACAAGGCTGCTTCTCTTAATGGGAAATTAACTGCACCATCTTCTCATTTTAAGACTAAGATTCCATTCTAAGGTTTGAGAGCATGTAAATAATCCATAAGTGCTTTTTCCTTTGTGCTATCCAACACTTATCTCAACATTGTCAACACAGATTATCAGGCTATTACATTATTACTAGTTGTGGGAGCTCGCTTTAGATAAATTGGCTGCCAAGTTTTTTTCATATTTAACAGTAAACTATTTCAAAACCTCTTCATTAATTGTGGAAAGTCCCAAGGTTACATAAAGAACTATATAAATGTAATTTCTTTATTCTCTTAAAATTCCTTTTGCAAACAATAATAATTAATAGATGAACCTGTTAAAAGAATTGTGACTGAAACCTTTCATCCTCTATAACTTGTGATAAGGAAAGGTCTGACATAAAACACAACAGCAACATCATCAGTTTTCAAGTGTTAACCCTGAGATATTGAAGTTATTGACTCAGGATAGGTGAGGGTTCGTATGCAGACACTGAAACTATGTTAAAGCAGAATAAAGATAATTGGGGCAGTCATAACAGTATCAGTGTGAGTGCATACAACGTTGCTGCAAGAATTGTCAGTGTTCAACCACGGCATGACAGTCATTGAGAATGTTTTTGAAAACAGCAACGATAATCCAATAACTTTTTCAGAATCTTGGCTAAGGGAATTATTTTGCAAAACAGGAAAAACAGGAGGAGGTATGGGATGGGCTAGGACACTGAAACACTTTGTGAATGCTTGCTCTCGCAACTAATGTTTACTGCAGTAGGTGAAAGAGGGTGGAGCACTGTAAGGGTAGGTCAAGCAATATCTCACAGGAATGGATGATTTTCACATAGGTTGCAAGGATGTTAATTCAGATTACACATTGGTTGTTTCCACTCTGCTTAAAGGAGGAACACATGGTGACACACTTTTAACAAGGAGACCAATACTTTGCAGAAAATTCCCTTGCAATCAGCGTTCAGTATTGGTTACTTCAAAACTTAGCCTTAGTATGTCGCTTGCTCTCCCTTTCACACTCACTCTCATTTTGCTCTGTGTCTTGCTGTCTCTGGTTATCCTTTTATGTCCCTCTATCTGCTCTTCTCTCTACATCTGTGTGTTACTGACCATCTCTCCATCTCCTTCTCTTTGGGGATATTTTATGAACGTGAGAACAGAGGACTTAGGAAGATGAAACGACTATTTCGTACTTTTGAGCCTACTCCCCAAAAGCTTTGACTGCCCTGTCTATCAAATAATCTATGTAACTCAGTCTTGATTCAATTTAGAGACCCAGCCTCCACCAACTTTGCGAGAAGAGAATTCCACACTCTAACAATCTTCTAAAAGAGAAAAATTCTTCTCTTATTTTCTCTCGTTCTGAAACAATGTCACCCACAAAAGTAAATGCCTTCCTTATATATCACCATCCAGTCCCCTCAAAATGTTGTGATAAGTTTATCTCTCATTCTTCTAAACTCCCCTGGACGTCGGTTCAATTTTTCCTTTCAACCCAGAAATTAATTGAATGAGCCTCCTCTGAACTGCTTCGAAAGCAATTATGTCTTTTCTTCAAATAAGGATACTAAACTGTATACAGCACTCCAGGTGTGGTTTCATGAACACCCTGTACAAATGCTGTAAAATTCCCTCGTTTTATATTCCATTTCCTTTGCAATAAACAGCAATGTTAGATTTGCCTTCATGATCAGTCATGGTATCTGCATCATAATTTTATGTGATTCATATACTAATGACACCCAGATCCCACTGTATCACCGAGTTCTGCAATCTCTCTCCATTTAAATAACATACTGCTTTTCAATTCTTCCTGCCAAAGTGGACAAGATCATTTACACATGTTATATGCTATCTGCCAATCTTTTTCCAGACTCTCTTAACCTTCTATATCACTTTGCAGACACTTTACCTCCTTTTGACAACTTATTTTCCTACCTATCTTTGGTATTTGACAAATTTAGCCCTACCTAAGATTCAAGTCCTATTTCCACACTTATCTTTACCATCTCTCTGCTAACTCACTCCCTTTACTTCTTCTACTATACACATGGTGCTCATAGTCTACCACTCTCATGATAGCAACATCTTCCCTCACTCATTCTTACCCATCCAACCATCCTACACCACAAGCCCTGCATGGCATCTGCATTGCCTACTCATCCCTCAGGACATCTCACCATCTTCATCATCAGAACCAGCACTAACAGCCATGTCACACAATTTCACCTCAGTCAATCTCACCCTTTCTCATTCCAGGAGAATTAATTATTGCCAGACTATTTATTCCCTCCCACCTCCCACTTTTGGAAGCTCCCTCTCCAACAAGATATTTTCCCAATTTCTTAACTCCTCCATCTAGAATATTCATTCCTCCTGCTGATCTCTCCTGCCCTCCTGATCACTTTGTCCTGCTCCTCCACCCACGAACTACACACTTCTTTCCAGATCTAAACAAGACAAGTGCTGGCAAAGCAATGAGCAAACATTAAGTCATAGAGTCATAGAAGTCTACAGCACAGAAAAAAAGGCCATGGAATCTGTACTGCTCAAAAACCTAAAATAATCTTCACCTGTGAACAGCCTAAGAAGGCTGGGCAACTCTGAACAGCTTGCTGGCCTGGTAAGTGAGACCTGAGGTTCAACATTGGGCATGTCTCAGGCCAGGCACAAATCCATTTCTAGGTCAAGTACATGTTGTGGGTGCGTTTCCATTCACTAACAACATACTGTCAAGGTCATAGAAGGAGAACGTTCCAGGGTGTTTTCCAGCTTAAGGGCAATATGGGCTGAACAAATAGACTTGGAAAGTGTCCAAAGACATCAGTCATGTTTTAGTTGATGATACATCATGGTTAATGCTAAAGTGTATAATTACAAAACTTTCCCAGGGAGAATGCCCTTGACACCTCTCTCCTTTCAGCCCACACATGCTTACAACTCCCCACACTATGAGTTTCTTCATTTATACTCACTTTCATTATTTCTAATAAAAGAACTACACCTCTCATATTGCTGCATAGAATACATTTATATATGTGAATACGTCATCCATGGATTTCCTTTCTGTATACCCCACTGGTAGCTACTTTGTACTAATTGCGGATACACCTCCTACATCAATCACTGATAAAAATCTTTTTAAAGGCCTTTATTTCCCAACAGACCTTTCTCTTAGTAATGAATGACAATTCTCAAGTCCATCCAAAATTTGATACTGCCCTGCACCTGGGAGGATTACCAAGAACCTCACCTATAAACCATAATATGAGAAAAACTTGTTCTCCAAACTTGTTCTGATTCTTAGATAGTAGGAACTGCAGATGCTGGAGAATCCGAGACA